GTCCCACATCGGGCTCCCTGCTCGGCAGGAAGCCTGCTTCTCCCTCTCCCACTCCCCCTGCTTGTGTTCCTACTCTTGCTGTCTCTCTCTCTGTCAAATAAATAAAATCTTTAAAAATAATAATAATAAAAATGAATGGGACAGCTCTCAAAAATATTAAGTAAATTTCCCTAGCTTGACACTTTTTTTGTTTCCTTCAAAGCATATACTACAATTTGCAATTTATTCATTTGTCTTTAAATTTTTTTCCCTGCCTTTCCTAAGCAAAGTTAATTGCCAAGAAGGCAGAAACCATTTTGGGCTTGTACACCATTGTAGCCCCAGCATTTAGTATATGCTTTAAAAAATAGTAATAATATTGAATGTAAATGATGTTGTTCAGGAAACTGAGCTTACTGAGGATTTACTATGTGCCAGGCAAGGATTGTACTAAATATTTTGAATGTCACTATGTCATGCAAATCAACACCATGTATGAATATGATTTATTTATGATTTGATTCTCCTTTCAAAACATTTTTCAAAAAGATATTTAAGTAGGGGTGCCTGGGTGGCTCAGTTGGTTAAGCGTCTGCCTTCGGCTCAGGTCATGATCCCAGTGTCCTGGGACCGAGTCCCGCATCAGGCTCCCTGCTCAGTGGGGAGCTGCTTCTCCGTCTCCTGCTCCCCCTGCTTGTGCTCTTTCTCTTTCTTTCTCTGACAAATAAATAAATAAAACCTTTAAAAATATATTTAAGTATAGCTATACGCTCGTGTCTTCTCTCCTAGTGAGAAATATGTCTATGTCCCCCATCAGCCCCCAGCACCACTTGTTCTCCTTTAACAGCGTCATCGAGGAAGGAAGGAAACAGTGAAGAGCAGGGCTGCCAGTGTAGAAGCTAGCAGGAAGATCATTTAGTTTTCATTTCTTTTCTAAATCATCTGTAGACCGTTTCATGGTTTAATATACACTGACATTTCTTTATATTTGTTCACTCAGTTCCTCCAAATATGACTTTGATAATATTTTATAACCAAATAGCTAGAAAATATCCCTTACTGCCCTCGAAAGAGTGTCTCTACTTATAGAATGTATAAATATGGTTCCTGCTCAGGGATGCCCATGCTTTTTATTTTGAAATGATTTTAGGGGCGCCTGGGGGGCTCAGATGGTTGAGAATCTGCCTTCAGCTCCGGTCAGGATCCCAGGGTCCTGGGATCGAGTCCCCCATGGGGTTCCCTGCTCAGTGGGGAGCTTGCTTCTCCCTCTTCCTCTACTACTCCCTCTGCTTGTGCTCTCTTGCTCTCTCTGTCAAATAAATAAATCTTAAAAAAAAAAAAAGAAAGAAATGATTCTAGATTTACAGATAAGTTGCAAATATAGTATAGGGTTTCTTATATACACTTCCACCAGACTCACCTAATGTTACCTTCTTATAATGATGATTCTGGTACTATTTTTGAACCCACCATCCTGTCCCCTTTTGGCTTCTGATTGGACCCACCAATGAAAACAGCAGAAAACTGGAGGGCAGGGTATTTATTTGGATCCCCCACATCCCAAAACTTCCTCTCTGCAGAAACATCCTGTTACCAAAGGCTGCAATAAAAGACCCTGCTCCATCTCTTCAACTTCCAACTATTCTTTGTATCTGGGTTTCTGCTCCCACTCCCTGGCCCTTTCAGGCCTAGGAGTGGTGAGAAATCTCCGCTGTCATTAGTCCTGGGATGCTTTGCCATCCCTAGTTTCTCCCTTAACCCTGCCCACACCTTTTAAACAATTCCTTTATTAAATTCCCCTCAATATCCCCAAATGACCATGCAATCTGATTTTTTCCAGGGACAATGATTGACAACCTAACCAAAGTGATAAAGTTGACATTCTCTTAAGGGAATATATCCTCCTACCCTGACACATCAAGTAGAGATTATTTACATAAATGTTTCTACCAAGTGGAGTTCCAAATCATGCCACTCACAAGTCCAATATTATGAATCAATGCCTGAAACCACTTTTACCTTACTCAAGAGTCAAGGAAATAATTACAGCACAGCCAATAAGCTGCCATGTATATATAAAATAACTCTAGTGATAATCAATAGGGCTTGGGCAGGAACCTGGTCCTCCAGAACCAATGCGGGCAGGAATTTGTGCTTCGCCTACCCACTACCCCCATCATTCGATATCCATTCTGGCCATCTGAGTGCTTTGGACAGAAACTGGCATTTCAGCTAGAGGAGAACTCTCTCTCTAGTCAGGGATTTGAAGTCACTATCTACAGTTGTACATTTTGAACTATAATAGAATGAATATGGGTTATTGATATAGATAACAGATTGCTTAAAAGTGAGAGGTATGAGACATACCAGGCAATTTCAGCCCCACAACTGGATTCAATATTTAGTTAGCAGGTTCAGAGTAGGATGGGACAAGCTTCAATTCTGCACCCAATTTCCTTAATCAAACTCTTCACCTGTCCAATTACTTGTTCACAGATGATGAAGATGAAAATCTTTGCTGAGGATACCTGCAGCATCCACCCTGACAAAAAGCAAGGGAACCAGATTTGAAGATCTAAGAGGCCAGAGTCAAAGGAAGTGGACTAGATGTCTGGCATAATGCCATACGCAAGGAGAGAATTAGGAAAGGTGACCAAGCTGTAACCTGTAGACTCCCATCACTGCTCCCCCAGATAGCAGCCAGCTGGAACACTAAGTCCTCATCCATAAAACCTTAAGCTGAAAGTCGTACTCTTTCCCTGCCCTCCCTCCCAAAATATGGATTTAGTTTTCATAACATCTCCTTCAGGGTTGTATAATATTCTACCTATTTTACACATACCGAGCTAAAATCTGAAAGTATTTTAGCATTTCTACTGTGGAACAAAGAAACAAAGCTTTCTCTGGAGAACAAAATACATTACAGCTAATAGAAAATTAAAGAAGACATTTTAAAATGCCAACCTCAGGGGAAAAAATGATTTTTTCCTTTTAGGGCATTTCCCTGCTCTTGTACAACAACTGATAACTATGGAGGAAAGTGAGCAACAATTTAGTTCTGTTGCTGTAGCACATGAAATTCAGCCACCCACAGGCACTTATTTTAAAATAAGTCAGAGCCCATTGCCCTATTTCAAAAAAGCAACACACGGTACATTTACTTCTGAAATTTATTTCAGGTGACAGGACACCCACAGACTAACAAAATAAACATAGAATTAAATAGTATCCCCCAAACCCAATTCTACTTCCTAGCAAAGGCAGATGATGATTTAGCTATCAAGCTTCATCTATATTTTTTTTAAAGATTTTATTTATTTATTTGAGAGAGAATGAGAGATAGAGAGCATGAGAGGGAAGAGGGTCAGAGGGAGAAGCAGACTCCCCGCTGAGCAGGGAGCCCGATGCGGGACTCGATCCCGGGACTCCAGGATCATGACCTGAGCTGAAGGCAGTCGCTCAACCGACTGAGCCACCCAGGCGCCCTTCATCTATATTAATATGTCCATGCAATTGGCCTCTTTCTCCTTTGCTGCCCCCCTAACCCCTGCAAATCTGAGAGCCATTTTAACAGCAGCACTAAAATGATTTCTCACTTGAAGATTTGAAGACAAAACACCTGAGATGGATACACCCAACACAGAAAGTGTAAGAAGAGATTAAGAAACATAAGCAGGGCTTTTAATGATACGATTTTATAGTTGGAGGAGGGGAAGGAAGTAAAAGGGGGTGGGTGGATCGATATGCAGAAGAAAAACAGGAGGGGTTAATTTACCTTGAAAATAACCAATATTCTATTTGTCCAGGCCCAATGAGAATTTGTGCCAAGCAATTTCATTCATTTCACAGTGCCTAGAACACCGATGACTGTGTGGTAAATATTAAACAAATAACTTGTTGGTTGATGAAAATGTACATGGCAACGCCGCGTACACACAGGAAACAGAAACTCAAGGTGGTCAGACAAATTTGAAAGCAATGCAAGGTTTGGTTCTCCATGTCAAAAACATTTTCAAGGTACACAACTGGGGAAGCAAATGAATAAAAATTTGCCACATCCATAGTTCAACATGTTGTTCCTCTTTGAGTGCTAAAACTTTATTTGCAAAAGAAAAGCTAAGATTAGGTTAAAATATTATTAATTATATATACATGATATAATTTTAAAGATCATAAAGTTTTATTGCTTAATATGTGTTTTTTGAATTAAAAAGGTTACTTGCTCAGGTTGCTTACATTTATAACAGCAATATGCCACTTGAAACCTTAACACATAAGCAACCATTTGCTAAACTAAAGCTAGCCTTGAACTTTGAGTAGTGCCATATGCTTTTAAATTAACCCTTCTGAATACTGTACCAAGCTCATAACACAGACTGTTAGCTTATAACCGAATTAGGTTACTGCTAAATACTCATTAGGCAAACCGCTGAAAATAAAGAAAACATGTACATTTCCTACAGCTCTATGAATGCCAAAATTAAAAATGATTCAATGAGAATTTGGGATTAGGCAATGATAATTTGGTTGATCTCGATGGCTTACATATTTTAAGTTGAACTAAAATCTCTAAGGACCTTTTCCTTTGGAAAGCAAAACCACACATTTTAAAATAGTATCTAATGGAAGGTCTATTAAAATCACAATGGATCATAGCTGTCAACTTCAAATAGTGTCTCCTTAAGGGCTTAAGTTTACACACTGGTGCAACACCACAAAGGCAGATGCTACAAAAGGATCTACAAAGAAAAACAAATTTTATTCACAACACTTTGCATATAAACTTTTCCTTCTGCAGACTTGTGTGGAGTTGAAAATAAAGGATGCTAATATGCACATCATGCAGCACATCAGAAAAAAAGAGAGAGAGAGAAAACACTTCAGTTGAGTGAAAATTCATTTATCTACTGAAAATCCGGGAGAATTCACATCCACTGTACTCCAAATTTACTCCTAAGTGACAGAAAAATACTATATGAAATGGCAAAAAATTAAATATGATTTAATCAATAGCTGATTACCTTTAAAACTTTGGGCTTCTTTTCCCTCTGGGGCCTCTTGTTTTCTTTTATAACCTAAAAAAAATCAAATTGCAAAATGAGCCTCCATTTAAGAAAAAAAAAATTAGCTCCCACCCCCCCCAAAATTTTTGGCTATTTCTCTATAAAACTACTTAGATCATTTAAAATCATCAACATGTTTGCTAGGCAGAACCTAAAGAGCTTATGTAAAATGTATACTTGAAAAGTCACTGAAAAAAAGCCTTGCATAAAGATGAAGTAGGGAAATACCCTTTTTTCCCCTTAAAGTCTGTCTTAATTAGCCTCTGCATTCTTCACAGCGAAGCCCACGAGGTAGCCATCTTGCTTGCTTCTGCAGAGGAAGCCTCTACAGTGGAACAGTTCTGCAAACTGCTTTTTGGTATTATTATCATGGTGTTTAAAGGCAGCCCTGGCCTGCCAGCACTGTAGACGTGCTGGGCATGCCTTTTGCAAAAACAGCCCCACAAAGAGTGCAGCCAATGGCAATGCAGAGCTTAGCAACTCCAAAGTGATCTTCTCTGCTAGCCTTCCTAGACAAAGGATCTCCTGTGCGGCTCCGCTCTCACCACAGGACACAGGCAGCCACAAGCTGCGACATGGAGTGCGCTGCAGAGGATCTGGTCGCGCCGAAATCACAGGAGGCTTCAGCAAAAACAATGCACACAAATCCCCCAGGTCTCCACCATCGGATCGATGGCGGAGGCTCCCTGATTAGTAACCTCTTGGCGGCTCCGAGGGCAGGTCTGCGCGGGGGGAGGGGTGCGCGGCTCAGCCTCCAACGTACAGGAGATATAACTGAGCCGAGGGGGGCATTTGGGCTTGCTGAAACTCTGGAAGGTATTGTGCATTTTTACTTTATAAGGCAAGGCTAAATATTGGCGATATTTAAGGCAGGGAGGTTATGTGAGGACAGTGTAGGCTCAGCTGTTGGGCTGCGTGTCTCATTCCCCGGGAACCACACCTCTTTGCAGCAGGCGCTTTGCCCAGAAACACAGCAATTTGATTTCTGTCAATAAATGTCCAATGACAAAGGCGAATTAAAAAATACTAATGAAGCCACTTGAAAGCAAAAGGACGGGATGAGGACAAGGAGGGGGAGGAGTTTTCAAAATACACTTGTCACTCTCAGTGGCTGGAGAGAGATTTCTCTCTCTTGCTCTGGACATTTCTGGTGACCTTCATTTCCTAAAGAAATCCCTCCCATCTGGAAGGTGGGCTCACACCTTTGGGACAAAAGGGGCACCTTTGGCTCCTCTGTCTCCCAAGATCATCAGCTGTCACTGAGCATCTCCCCCTGGAGCTGCCAAGCAGGTCCCCCTCCCCCCGCAAACTCGGAGCCTTCTGCCCACCTGGCTGATGGTCAGACGGGGCCACCCACTTCCCGGGGACTGGGAGCTGAGCCAGAGGCGGCACTAGCAGCCACCCACCCTCACACACCTGGACTGCCACCATACCCAGTGGGTGGTAGGCACTCAGAGAGCTGGGCACTGTAGTCGGAACTTGCCAGTCCCTGAGAATGCCAGAGCCAGAGGAGTTTAGCGCCCTGCCGTTAGCCCCCTGGCCAGGCAACCGTGGCAGGAGAGAAAGAACCAGGACAGCTGCTGTGAGCTGGCAGGTCTCAAGGTCACTGCCAAAATGTAGTGCAGAGGCCGGTCACAGTCCTATCACAGCCACCTTGACAGCGGCACAGATCTCGGGAAGACAGCCTCAGCTCCATCCTCACAGGGCCAAAGTTTCAGCAACACATTTAGGGGATTGGCAGGAGGGCCTCCCTGGCTGCTCAGCCAAAGATGGGTTTTCCACTTGCAGTTGGATTCAGAGCAGATTCCCACAACCAGAAATCAGGAACAGAGTGAGGGCCGGAAGGCCTGTGTTTCATCACCCGGGATTCCTAGCCTTTCGGTTTGCCACAAAAGCACGCTCTCCTTGTCGGAATGGTTAAGTCCAACATGCACTGTTTTCCCAACTTAAACTACCTCCCCCTCACCTACCCACCCTCAAAATTGTTAACAAATATAAAAAGCAAATCTCCTTGAAGCAAAACCAGTGGGTTCTGACCTAAACACATCCATCAGGCCAACTTCAAGCATACTGAGCCCATACTAAGAAGCTCTCTGTGGCAAATGAAGCAAAACCATGAAAAAGGTAGAAAAACAGGACTGAATACAGCAAGACTTGGAAATGGCCCTACGCCTCTTTTTCTTTGAAGTGTGTGTGTATGTGTGTGTGTGTGCGTGCGATAAAATATATGTAATATAAAATCTGCCATTTTAACCATTTTTAATGGTTAGTAGCATTTAATGGTTTAGTAGCATTAAGTATATTCACAATGTTGTGAAACTATTCCCACTCTCCATTTCCAGCACCTTTTCATGATCCCAAACAGACACTCTGTATCCATTCAACAATAACTCTTCATTTGCCCTCTCTCAGTCCTCACTACTTTTTATTTTGCTTTTTGTCCCTATAAATTCACCTATTCTAGTATCTCATATAAGTGGTATTGCATGATATTTGTCCTTCCGTGTCTGGCTTATTTCACTTTGCATAATGTTTTCACGCTTCACCCATGTTGTAAGATGTATCAGAATTTCATTCCATTTGAAGGCTCAACAGTATTTCACTGTGTGTATATACACCAAACTTGTTTATCTATTCTTCTGTTGATGAACATTTGGGTCGTTCCCACCTTCTGTCTATTGTCAGTAATGCTGCTGTGAACATGGGTACGAGTATCTATTTGAGTCCCTGCTTTCAATTCTTTTAAATATATATCTGGGAGAAGAATTGCTGGATCATATGATAATTCTGTTTAAGTATTTAAGGAACCACCAAACTTTCTGGAGTGGCTATACCATTTTACGTTCATGTCAGCAGTGCACAAAAGGACAGCCCTACATTTCTTAAAGTTCCTTGCACGTCAATTACAAATTATGCCTCTCCCCCTTGAATACCTGAATATAACTTTTATTTTTATTTTTTTTAAGATTTTATTTATTTATTTGACGGAGAGATGGCGAGAGCAGGAACACAAGCAGGGGGAGTGGGAGAGGGAGAAGCAGGTTCCGCCAAGCAGGGAGCCCGATGCGGGGCTCGATCCCAGGACCCTATCCCAGGACCCTGGGATCATGACCTGAGCCGAAGGCAGACGCTTAACAACTGAGCCACCCAGACACCCTCGAATATAACTTTTAAAAAGCATCAACATTTCCCCAGCTTGACTGCTCAATATTTAGTAAAGTGGTCCATGATATATAATACATATAATTATAAAATTAGAGAGAGAGAATGCGAGATAGAGAGCACAAGAGGGAAGAGGGTCAGAGGGAGAAGCAGACTCCCCGCCGAGCAGGGAGCCCGTTACGGGACTCGATCCCAGGACTCCAGGATCATGACCTGAGCCGAAGGCAGTCGCTTAACCAACTGAGCCACCCAGGCGCCCAATACATATAATTATAAAATTAAAAGCAATCTATTACCTGTGTGATCCATGTGTGTCTCAATAAAACAAAAAAAATCAGGCTCAAAGTGTTAGGTGTACTGAATATCCACATCAGTGAGAAGCCCACTTTTTAAAGCCCCATTGACAAGCATTTTCACTGCATGAAATACTCATGAAGCCATACAACACTGCACTTGGCAAACTAAGCAAACACTAGAGGTCTGTGTGTAGGGTTCTGTAAAATGAATTAATAAATGAAGACACAGCTCATCTCAGCTAAATATGAGGGTTAATTAAAGTGACCAGAGCTAACATTAACTCAAAATATCCAACTGATACTACGCTATGAAGATCTGCACTTGTTTGAACACAGAATAGATTGGTAACCTATATTGGTAGTGACCATCTGCTCCAAATCCTATACTTAGTGATTTGACGGTCTTCAGATCAGGGCTTAGGTGATGGCAAGCTTTGATGGAGAAAATAATCAGACATTACTAGCAGAGAAACTGGAGGGCAGGAGAGCCATTCCCATTCTCTTATTATTTAAGGCAAAGTGCATACAACTAGATTCTGTTGGAAGAATGGCAGGTCAGAAACTAAGAAACCCTGTGTTGTAGTCCTACTTATTCAGAATCTATTTTTGTTTCTTAAATCCATTTGTTTTTCTCACAAGTTATCATGATTAAGTTGCATGAGATGTATTTAATTTTGTGATAACTCTAGAGTATTAGGTTCTTTCAAATATTACAAAATGAGATCTCTTTTCTCTTAAAAATCACAATTAAAGAACTAAAAAAGAAAATTGAGTCTAACTACATTATTTCATTGGTAAACTAGGCTTAAAGTGATAAAATTACTTAAATCACATTGTACAAGTAAGAACTTAACTTGAGCTGAGGTATAACCAACCGTCTACACTGCTTTCTCTATAACTCCTCCTAATAACCTTTAAGATTGAAACATCTTCAAAACCACACACTAAGGGGTTTTTTGTTTTGTTTTGTTTTTTTGAGAGAGAGAGAGAGAGCACAAGCGGAGGGAGGGAGAGGAGACTCTTATGCTGAGCAGGGAGCCCAACTCGGGGCTCGGATCACAGGACCCCAGGATCAGGACCTGAACTGAAGGCAGATGCTTAACCTATTGAGCCACCCAGGCACTCCCACACACTTAGGATAAAGGAGTAGCGGCTCAGATTTCTACAAGACTGGTATTTAAATGAAACTTACATTAGGTATGCTTTTAAAAAAATAAATTTGGTGCCCTCAGAGATAAATTAATGGATAATTTCAAAATTCTACTTCTCTAAGCATAAAGCACTCTGCATCCACAAGAAACTACACACACAAACAGGAGCACCTGGGAGGCTCAGTCGTTAAGCATCTGCCTTCGGCTCAGGTCATGATCCCGGGGTCCTGGAATCGGGCCCTGTATTGGGCTCCCTGCTCCATGGGAAGCCTGCTTCTCCCTCTCCCACTCCCCCTGCTTGTGTTCCCTCTCTCGCTCTGTCTCTGCCAAATAAATAAATAAAATCTTAAAGAAAGAAAGAAAGAGAAAGAAACTACACATACAAGCACTGCCTAAGAGTTTT